GAAGGGGACGGTTAGCCCAGGTGAGTGGGAAACACATTGAAACACATGTGAGAGATCGCCCTGAACGCAATGATCAATGCAAAAGGCTCACATCTTGAAAGAACTTAGACCGTCTTGACCCATCAAGACCAACATCTGACGGTACACACGGTGAAGTGCCCCTGAACGTGGCCCTGTCGGACCGTTGACCGGACTGGACGATCCCTTGACCGGGTCGTGGGTCGACCGACAGGCCATTTCGACTGCGACCACCACGCAGCACGGGGGGGGGCATGGGTCCAAAAAAAGAACGACGCATACACATCCAGGGCACAGTTTGAGGAACGACATGGGACTCTGAATCCCTCCTGCCAAACACTGTAAGACTATTTGCCCACAAGCAAGCCATTGCTCTCTTTTTCATCAGACTTCATGTTGCCTTGCGAGGGTGGAAACTGTGCGTTCATGCTCATCATCTTCACCAAACCAAAGACCTTCAACGGCCCCGGCCCACCCACCCACCACACCCCTGTCCTCAGCTCCCCAACGTGCCAGGTGCATCACCCTCTGCACTGCCGCCCTGCGCAGTTCGTCACTGAGGGCACCACTGAGGGACCCCGAAATCACGGAAAATTACATGGCGACACCCCTAAAAAATCAGGTCCCACATGAACAGCTCCAAGCAAAACGAAGGTCCAAAAAAGAAAAACACGGCTCCCGCAAGGTTGCACGCGTGCCTGAATGTGGTGTTGTACCACCTTTGGAGGAGTCAAGTCTTCTCCTCCGCAACGAATTCTGAATTCATCCAAAAAGCACGAAAGACAATAATGAACCCTTTGAAATTCTAGGATTTCCAAAAGCTTGGATGATCCGTTTGGCATGGAAGAAAGATTCTCGTGGGACTTCCGAAAGCATCTGGGATCCATCACTCGGCGACTCTCACAACCGGTGACTGTCCGACCCAATGCATCTTTGGTCAAAACCGACCAGAACGAGGACCAACCGGACGATTTTTCACGGCGTGTCCAGCGTTTTCTTCTGCGCGACCCTCGGTGCTGCCCCGCTGTCGAAGCGGGCACGGAGCGGGCACCCTCCGCGCGCCTGTGGGTGTTCCCCAAACGGGGACAAAGCTTTTCTGCTTGGGCGTCTCCTTGGGTGTCTCTTTCATTTCCTTGCTCTCGTTGCCTGGCTTTCAGTTTGGCCAACGGCATAATAAACATCAGCGAGCAGACTGTGTGTGGGGATGGAGCATGGCTTCATCTTGGCATGTCCCAGATTCCAACGTATGACCACGGGGGGAAAGAGCACACATCTTAGTGTTCTTGCCCAAGTGTTTTTCATCATGCCATGTCCTCCTTCTTACGGCATGGATATCAATCGCACATATACCGGCCAGACCTGCATGCCAAGCCATTCGAGGGCGTGGAGGGAGCTCCTCTCAGCCGGTGGTGGATGGAAGAACATCCCAGTTGCCATGGCGCTGGGATGATGAAAGGCGGTTCGAAATCAAGACCCGGTGTCGAAAGATCAAAGCACTGCTGTTGAGAGAAGACATGAAGACATCAGAACCACTGAGACACTTTGATAGGTGCATTAAAAACTGCAAATATTTGGGTGGACTCCGTGCTGCATCGTCCCGCCCTTCAGCCTTGTTCCAAGCAGGTCAACCTCAGAACCCACATTCTTGTGTCCCATCATGGAGACTCAATGGAGACACCCATCCACGTTCCACCCCACTGATCCACTTCCAACCCACAGCATCACCAGATCTCTCAGAGCACCGTCCTTCACCTCCAGAGCCTCAGAAGGATCCATGTTGAAAGCGGGTTTGGTGATGACCGCTGTGAATGGATGCATAAGCAGAAAGGGTCAGCCATGGGGGTGCCCCGGTGCAGCATCTGCACCGTGCTTTTGTTCTCCTTCTAGAGAAACATGGGAATTTCAATGTCAGATGTGGCGAAAACACACATCTGGCATCCAAATCATCGAACTGTGTCAGGCTGTCGTGTCCAGACCTAACAGCCTGACAGCAACGAACACATGTCTGTCCACACAGCCTGGCGCTGGAGGTTGAACACAACATGTGAGTTTGTCAACTGGTTGAAGGCCCGAAATCTCAAGCGAAACTTGTGCCTAGCTTTAGTCCTCGCCAACTGAACATGTGACCAAAAACGCTGCTGGCGGACCAACCCTTGATATGTCCGGCGCTCCGATGAACACCTTCCGAGCTCACGCCTCTGCATCACGCATCTTCATTTCTATGGGACTTCAGTTCTCGTGTGACCCTTAGCTAAACGCAAGATGTTCCAAGCCCTCGCAAAGAAACCAACTGAAAGTTCCCAGATTGTCTGCTGGGCATCACGACGAGAAGGACTATATATTAGCAACTAGGTCATGGGCGCACTGGTCGCCTGATACAAAATGAGGCCTGTGTTGCAAAAAAAAGACCCTTCTAAACGGAGGAATCATGGAACACAGTGAAAAAATGCAGATTCAACAACTAAATGCGGACCGTGAATGTTTTACTTTTTATTGGCCACTTGCAGCACATCTTTTGGCGCTGACTCTTTCAGTTCTCCTCTCAAAGCAAACTGCCAGACCCGTCTTTCAATGGCTGGGTTATGCAGGGACGAGCCTTTCACTTTTTTGACCTTTCTCGGCAAGATTCGGCAAGTGGGTAGGAATGAAGCTTTTCAATTCCTGCCACGCTCGATCTATTTGCTGGGTCCCTGCGGTCGAAGACCGTTGACGTGGCACAACCGATGTCAATTCACGCACAAGTAGTATGAGCCCTGAGGCCTCCATGACATCCACAGTCGGCATGATGCTCGTGTGCTGTGAAAACAGCTTTGCCTACATAGTCTGTAGGTCAATGTAGATCTAAATCTACTTGTCCATATAAAGCCACACACGTATTACCTAGGTCTATATCTACAAACTCTTCATCTCTCTTTCTCGGGCACTTGCTCCGCTGCAGAAACGACACAAGAAAAGCACAAGACGAACGTAACTTGTAAGCTTCCAACATGCGTCGTGCTCCCATATCTCTTCTTACATAAACACATTACACAACATGTTGTGAAACCGATAACAGCCGATGACAACCTGTGGTGAAACCGATGACAATTTCGAGAAATGGAACATACCCCCCCCCCCCCGCCCCCACCCCGTTTGAATCACACGACCAATCGATGACAATGTTATGAAACCAATGACAATGTTATGAAACCAATGACAATGTCGTGACACCGATGACAATGTTATGACACCAATGACAACCTGTGGTGAAACCGATGACAATGTTATGAAACCGACGACAATGTTATGACACCGATGACAATGCTGCTGTGAAAACAGTGAAGCGTACGAAAACACCAGGCGACTGATCAATCCGTGGGCAAGTATATATAACCATGTAACATCATGTAACCATACATAACCTGCATACGGATGCAGCATGATGTAGCTAGCGGCTAGTGCTGTATTCAAACTCCTTGTCATGTGGAATACAGTATTTCTATGTATTTCTGTTGTTTTTAGTGGCGTTGCTTGCACAGCGTTGGATTTGGCCGCATCGCGGGTAGCTCCATGCACATGAGCCAAAGGAGCAAACACGATCTGCATCAAACCCTTCCTTCATGGTCTAGTAAAGTCCCTTTCCGTCATCTTTTCGCCAACAGAAACACATTCTCTCTGCGTGGTTCCTGTGCAGTAGCACAAGCCAGCACAAGGCGAATTCTGTGGGGCTTGCCTCCTGAATTCTGCTGACCTGAACCTGAGCCTAACACTCATGAAGGCGACACAGGCATTTTCTCCTGGGGGGCGAGACAGGCGCACTGTTATATCTCTGCAAAGTTGGAGTACGGCTTGCTCTGCCCTGGCGGTTTCCACGGATTTCTCCATCGGACTTTTTTCCGCGTGGTGTCCCCGCCCCCATCCCTTCTGGTCTGGACGAGCCGAAAAAGACAAAAACGATACGAACGAGACCCGGACCTTGCAGATGAGACCCGGAGAACCAGAATTGCCATTGGTCAGAGGAAAGCACTCCAACGACCACTGCCCCTCTGTCAAGTGCGACGGGAGCCATCTGCCGACCTTCCGTTTCGGTGAGTCTTTCGGGGGGATCTACACCAGCATTGAGAAAAACCGTTCACTGGAATGCGGGCCACGTTCCATCCGGGCGACTTTTTCTGTTCCGCTCTGATGCTGGCCAGTCTCCGACAGTCTACTTTGCCACAGCTAAGAATGCCAAACACACAACAAACATGTCCATCTTACATCTCCATCTTGCCGCTCTGAAAAGAGAGAGAGGTTTTTGCAGCTCCAGGCTCGTAACATTCTAGATAACGCTGCTTGTCCCTGACTTACATTGATTAAACAACAAAAATGGTCTCAGTGTCTCAGAGTTGTTTCGCACAAGACACTGCCAGGGTTTTTAGAAACCAAGGTGTTCAAGGCAGCAGAACTGGCAGCAGAATGTCCATCTCGCACAGGAAAGCTATCCTCTAAGAGACATTTCTCACATTTTCTCACTCTCTCTGTGCTCAGTGTTCACCTCCGGTGTGCCTGAGAACAGGAGAGACACATGCAGGCCTTGAGGGAAAAACAAGCAAAACTCCTGCAAGAATTTGTATACCATCTGCTTTACACCTACCCCGTCATCTCTAGTTATTCAAACATCCTTTAGACAAACGCAGTCCTCCACAAAAAGACCTTCCCAGTCGTTCTCACCGGTGGATTCTCTGCCTGGTCCTTCGACTGATGGATTCGACTCGGTTTCTCCCGGAAGCGACGTGACAGGAGCACCACCGGTGGTCTCGGACTGGCCCAGGTGGGGAAAGGAAGGCTTGGCCCAGCAAAGGTCGAAGTTCCCATCAGCTGCGCTGAATCCAAAGAATTGGAAGGCATCGAATGAAACAAAATTTAAGATCTTGCAGCTCCACTATGGCTCTCCAAAGCCCTTAGCCCTTTTCTGGAGGCTCAAACTATGACCATGCAGCTCCTCACCTGCGCGCCTCAAGTCATTGGAGATCCACCTGTCCGGCCGCCGGGGCGGCCGCCGGAGCAGCTGGAGTCTCCATGGGCACCTTCCAGCCTGCGGCTCAGCATCCGATCGGTCGAAGTCGAGTCCGGTGGACTCGGCTGGATTTGGGTCAGCATCTCAGGTCTTTGGTCCGAGGACAAGTGCGACTCCCGAGTGCGAATCCAATTGCCCAGCTGGCGGTGAGACTCTCGGACTCTCGCCCTCCACTTGTTGGGCTCCAAAGTCCGGTCCATCGATGACGGTTCGACCCCACTTCGACCGGACGGGCGGGTCAACGCATTCTATTCCGTAAGCAACATCCCTCCCCAAGGGCACCTCGCTTCTGAGAAGGTGAAACTGGATATAGGCAGGTTAATCAGATAAGGTAAGATTCTCAGTAAGATCAATACATTTTTTCGCATGCAGTACGAACGAAGGACATGGCCTTTTCGCGGGCCAGGTGGGCCAGTTCTTCCGCTACGGCCCCCCGGACATGTCCGTCGTCCCTCTCGAAAGGACCAACCGGAGAAGAGCGTACAAGCGGAACTGCGCGCGTCTTGTTCTCGTTGGCTTCTAAATGCACTAATTAACAAGTAGCTTCTTGTTCCGTTCGTAGCGATGCCAGGAGCGCCCCTAGCAGCTTCTTGTTCGTAGTAGCTTCTCTGTCCGTTTCCATCTCCACGGCCCAGGCCACCAGGCCTTTCGGAATATGAAGCTCTTCCCCATCCATCGCGGCCAGCACGGCAGGCGCTGGCGCTGGCGCTGGGCCTGGCGAACATGCTTTCGATGGGTCACACGACGTCCATTCTGACCTCTGCTGAGACTCGAGGATGGGCAGATGTTACTTCTTTTTTCCACATAATCACACGATGCCCACATCCCATGGTGCAAAGCGCTCGTTGGATGTCATTGGTAGATCGGCCTGATTCACCTACAGGTTTCTCTTTTGTTGGGGCCTGCAGTCTGCACGTGTCATCACATGTCTAGGCTTTAACATAGAAAGTGTTCCATCGTGTCGACACCTGACTTTTCATTGGTGCATTGGGGTGTCCTTGCTGTTGCCACCTCTGACATCAGAAGCTTAGGAGACTCATAACCATCATAACCCTCCAAAAGAACATGGATGGGGTTGGAAGCTATATAATCTTTCTTCTTCATCTTCTTTTGGCCAAACTTGACCCATCAAACCTTCTTTTTTGGCAAAATCGCAAAGAAACACCGGCAAACGTTCCGCGCACCACAGGCTCGGGATTTGCAGCTGTTGATCTCCGGAGAGACGCATGCAGGCACCACTGGATCACAAAAAAGCACCTGGTGCTGGGAAGATCTGGGAACACACAGAGACTCAGCCTGAAGAGTGAAAGATGGGTGTGGCTTGGAGAAAGCTCTCCAAGAGATGAAGAATTCACGAAACCTCTGGGCTCTCCAGCCAGTGAATCGTTGACCCAGGTAGGAGCCTTTACCAAAGAACCCCATTCAGACCAGAGCGTTTTGAGATTTTCCGTTTCTTTCCGCTGTGGGGTCCAGCTGAATCTCCTTCCGGCACCACGGCCGTGGGGCCGTCCGATACGTCCTGAGTCCGGCCCAGCCTGTCCCGGCACCACGGTCTTCACGTGGCCGGTGTCAGGCCCGGTGTACCTGCGTTTACACGGCGCCGTGCGTGAACCAGCGCCACATTAGAAAGAACCAATGCAAGAAACAGGAACCAAAAGAACCAGTGTGGAAACCTTCTCAATCCCACTTGACATGGCAGTTTCTGGCTGTGTTTTGGATTTGGGCATGTTGGATTTGGGGTGTGTCAAGGGGAGACATCAGAGAAGGGCTAATTGTCATGAACCATGAAAAGCCATAGTCGCGGGGTTTCAACACACTCCAAAAAACGATCGGGCAGTTGCTTTTTTGGATGCCTTCGCAAACTGCTCATCAAGTTCCTGCTCGACATTCGGCGAGCAATTGAGCAGGAAAATGCAGCCAACAGTTGCTTTAACCCAAGAACAGCAAATTGTGCAAAAGTACTACTATTATCGACTGTAGCGCACTAATACTGGAAGAAGTGACTCGTGACTCAGATAGGTTGAAGAACATATGAAAGTCAATCACGGTTGAGTATTTTATCAATCGATCAAACTATGCTGGCTTGTTGGCTTGAGGTCAGTAGAACACCAGATTTCTAGCCTACACGAGTACACGAGTCAATGCACCAACTTCGCGCATTCTCTCCCAGATCTTTTGATGAACACTGCTGAACTCCCTCGTGGTCGCAGATCTGTCCAAAGACAGACCAACTGACAGGGACTATTATATATATATAATATGTAGCAAATGTGCAAGATAGTTATGACATGGACCGAGAAGAGCTCTGGCTACACCGCTTCAGTCACTGTCACCAGCCGATCTGAAGCGGGACAGCAAAGTCTACAAAGCACACTCACAATCATTGTGCAATTTATGAAATTGCGCAGCAGCATCCGTCATAGTCACGTCCTGAGATCAGGAGGCAATCGACTCCAAAATTAAATCTGACGGCAAATCTGAGTGCAGGTTCCATTATCCCGACTGATTGACAGGTTTGATCTTGACACATCATCATGCCTGCGTAAATACAGAAGTATGAACAAAGTTCAGCACATAAGAACTCCCACCTATTTTTCTTAAACGCCCATGACATCACACAACATCACACCAAATCATTCCGGCATGATCAGGGATGTTGTCATCCCATCTGAACCACTTCATCTGCTTCAACCGGGCGTCCATTTGCGATAAGCCAGTTGTTGGTGGCCATGACCTCCCGTGCTCGTGGGCGATCCTTTGGCTTGACCACCAGCAGGGATTCCACCAAGTCCCTCACCTCCTTCAAACGGCGAACGAACAGAGACGGCGAACGAACAGAGCCTTGGAGCCTTGGAGCCTTGGAGCCGAGTTCTGACTCGAAATCAGAAAAACAAAAAGGAATCGGATGGCCGTGAATCTGATGGTCAGGAGGAACATGTGTTTGACCAACCATGTGCTTTTTTGTTTTTTTGCTGGATGATGCTTTTTGTTGGTTTCGTAATCCTGCGGCTGTTGGTTCGCATCGTTCAACCAAACCAAAAAAAGCATTTTCCACATCATTCAACCAAACGCCATGTTCACCACAGCAACGCCCTCCACATACAGCAACGCCCTCCTTGGGTTTCAAAGCCCAGCGCTTTTCATGATAATTCAGCTTCAGATTGGGATCATCCAACGCTGCGAGGATCTGATCCTCTTCCATGGCACTGTAGTCGTTGGGGTCATACCAAGGATCCATGCACACGGCGCACATGTACAGCACCATGCCGATACCCCAAACGTCCACTTTCTCATCATAGTTCTTCGACCTCACCTCGGGGGCCATCGTCAAGACCGTGCCCACCACGTCCTGGAAGGTCAGGTCAGGTCATTGTCATTTCAACAACATGATCTGACACCTAAGTAGGCAAACGTAAACTTTCATCGTGTGCGAATGGTGCTTTGTGCATGTTCGGCCTCCAAACCTAGGCAAACATGCATTCTTCATGTAAACGTCTATAGGCTACAGTCTTTAATAAGATTCTGAGTCTTCTTTGTGGGTCTGTCCTCCTGACCAGGTTCCCTCTTTCTAAATTTCTCATTTGCTCACCCCTCGTCCTTCTTTTCAAACCCTTTCTCTTTTTGGAGGCCAAGGTTAGCAGCATGGCGCAACAATCATAAAGGGATCAGGAGAAGGAAGGCTTGGGAAGTGAGAAAACATTGCAAAGAAGATGAGAGCCTTCAAGCAAGGATGGGAGCCTTCAACAGCTTAAGCTTCTGTATACAAATAGCTTGACTTCGAAGCGATCCCTGCTCCCCCACATAGTACGTAGCATAACTGGGTCGGGCTAACTCGCGATGCCTCCCTGGGCAATGGTGTTGTGGTTAGTTTGGTGTTGTCATTATGTGTCGTTGCTTGCTGTCTGCTGCTGTGTTTGTCCTGGCGTGTTGTCAAGTATTACTGTACACAGTACATGTCAATGTGTTGTGATTAGATGTGATTATGATTTGTGTTGCCGTTGTTTGCGTAGGTTTCGCGTTGGTTTTGCCATCTCTTTCAGTCTTTGTCCTTGTGCAACGTCAGCCATTGCCACTGGTGCGTGTCGCTTGTCGTCATGTCGAGCCACTGGGTGACCACTGGGTCGGGCTGCTGTCGTTCTGTTTGGCGTTGTTGGTTGTCCCGAGGGCTCTGTGCGCTGCCTGTTTGGCCTTGTCTGTTTGTGTTGTTTGGCCTTGCGTTGTTTGGCCTTGTTAGTGTCATGGCTTGCTATCTGTTGTTGTGTTGGTCATTGCACTGGGTGATGTGCTGCAGCAGTCTGAGGAGAAGCAAACAAGGTGTGCGAGTTACCCTCAAAAAGTTACGGTTCTTCCAAACCAGAGCAACTTCCCTGCCAGTATTTCTTGCCATGTAGTGCTTCAAAGCAAAAAGGCAACCTCATTCACTCACCAGAGGATCAGGGGTGTTCAAAGCGTCACAGAAGGTTTTCCACCTTCGTGGGGGGTTCCACTGTCTCGACCGCAACGAACGCCAGCCCTCAAGGGACAGACAAGGAACACTCAGCCATGGTGCGAGCGACAAAACGACGGTTGGTTGGACTTCAAAACAGTACCGAACCTCTGCATCCTGCCAAGGAACACAACGAACCAGAATACCAAACACCCTTAGCGCTTCCAGCAAGCACATGTGATGCATGCTGCAAGGTTGCATTCTCGGCATATCCGACCGAACGTCATCTTCAAACGCGCGTGGCGCGTGGTGCATGTCCTGTGGCATCATGTTCGAAAGACATTCTAACGAACATAAATAACTATACTAGTATATGTAACTAGGCTACCCCCCACCCAACCCCACCCCTCGATCATCCAACACCATATGGCATCGCATCACCATCTTGAAATGTACATGTGGCATCACAACGTGCATGAACGCGTGTGCGCGTGGCTGAAGTCAGCTCAAAAGACACTCAAGGCGGCAAAGAACAATGAATAAAAACAAACGGCCGTCTATGGCGTGTGCTCTAACTACTTCCACTGCATCTGAAAAGGTCTCAAAGCCGGTGTGTTTTACAGCGGCTTCTTCAAGAAACACTCTGAAGCCAACATGTTTGCAGTATTCTTGCGGATAATTAAGGACAACAACAACAACAACAACGAAAACCAAAAAAGCACCGGAGTGTTTGAGGCAACATGCACCAATACAATCCAGTACAAGCAACTTTTATGCCAATCCTGGTGTTTACCTCATGTAAAAAAGACTGTGTTTTATGTGTTCCCAAACCCTATCACAAAAAATAGAGTAAACATGTCGACATAATGGTCTTCCCAGGTGTTGATGATACTTTTGTGTCAAAACACAAAAATCAATGTTTGCTTGATGACTTCAAGTTCAAGAAGCCCGTTCTGACGAGATTCTTGGAACCATAATGCAGCAAATACATCCAATCATGTCATGTACCCAAGAAATCCCAAGAACATGGGAAGTACACAAAGATCATAATCCAATAAAGAGGTGCTGATGTTCAACGTATTCAGAGCCTTTCCGTCCTCCATGGTCTTCTTGTTTTTAAACCTGCAAGCCAGGCCCATATCAATCAGCTTCAGGTCCGCCTCCTCGTCCTCGGACATCCTCATGTAGTTTTCGAGCTTAATGTCCCGGTGTGCGATGCGGTGGTGATGAAGGTAGGCAGCCCCACTGAGCATTTGCCAAGCATAGCGGGCAAACAGATCGGAGTCCAGGCCAACGGTCCAAAGGCCGATGTCATCTTTCGCCATGGTTTTGGTGCCCACGAACTTGGACAAAGTCCCGCCAGGGCAAAACTCCATGACCAGGTAGTAGCTCGCAGAGTCCTGCAGACACCCCACAAGTGAGAGAGAGAGAACACGGTAGGAAACCAAAGAGATGAAACACATTCACCTACCACCTGGCGCCACCCAAAACCGGGAACCCTTAGAACCCCTTAGATTTGTTCTTTAGATCTTCCTCTTTGGTTTGATTCCACCACTGCATGTGGCAGGTCAAACGTGCTGAGACCTCGTCGACCGGTCAGAAACGTGGATGTCTGTGGCACGTGGCGCTGTCGATAGACTTCTGCAGCTCATGCTACAATGGCAGACAGGACATGAAAATAAGAATCAAATCCATTCAGAAATCCATGTACAGTATAGAATCCGTAGGAATCCAGTTCCTATGATGAAATGAAATAGCATCGCGCTTTACAAGGTTCTCAGAAACACTTCACACAGCTTTCGATCTAAAGGGAACGTGAACTTCTGGCACCCTGTTAAAACACCAGGATATCTTATGTTCTCTTCAGACCCCGAAACTGAGGGGTCCCTGCTTTGGGATACACACGCAGAAAACTGTTGCTCGCGTCAACACACCGTCAACACGTCTGCCCAAAAGCTGTAGGCTTTGGACTAATGGGTTCCCCCGTCTCCGAGGCGTAGAGTTGCTACCTGGGTTGACTCGGACCTGTCTGTGGCCTGCGGAGTGTCTCGCCTGTCTGCAAGCTGTCTGTGTCTGTGAGTCAAAACGCCAGCTGACAGCTTGGTCAACTGGAAGCTTTGAACCGCCCTGGCGCGATAATTCCGTCCTGATAGGAAGCATGTAGCCGGACAATGTTGGGATGTGCCAGCTTCCTTGCCACCTTCAACTCATCCTGGAAGTTATCCTCTGAGTGCAAACGCTCACGAGCGATGATCTTGATGGCCACTGCCTTCTGGTTGGTCTTGCTGGTGCCCTTGTAGACCGTCCCGAAGCCCCCTACTCCAAGTTCTTCATCCATGGTATAATCCTTGGTGGGGGCTGTGTCGTGGAACTCGATCACGGAAGCTCCGGAACGCGCATCCCATGGAACCTTCAACTTCTCCAGGTTGGAGCGTGAACTGGACTCTGAGAAGGCGCTCTTCGGGGAGGGAAAGGCCTGATGAGACCCCGGCGAGGTGATGGGCTCCCCCTCGGCGCCTAAACGAAAGGTGCTGGTGGTTCGGGACAAGATGGCCACGTCCACACTGTCCTGGGAGAGCTTGGGCTTGACGATCTCGGTCGGACCGTCGTCGATTGTCACCGACAGCCGCCGATCCGACTTGTCCGAGGATCTTTGATCATCAGACTTCATGGCCGAAGGACAACTATGGACCACTCGACCACGTTGGTCACGTTTGAACTCGACACCAAAAAGGCCTCTGCACCCCTTCAGGTGGAGGACCAATGATGTCTTGAGCAAAAGTGTGCTGAGAAACACACCATGTTCAAGCCAAAGAAGGCATGACTTCATGGCATCAATCCTATTCAATCCCTCTACCGTGTTTTTGAATGGACCCTAAACTTCCCGCTCAAGAAGAGTTTGTGTCAAAGCTCACACAAACACAAGTCGCAATCAAACTTCTGGACAAATTGGGTGCTTGGGCAAATGGATCATTGATACCATTTGCCATCCACTTGTGGTCAAATCTCAAGCCAAGCCACTGAAGCTGAATGGATCGGCTGTTGGAATCCTCAGCATGACTGGAAGGTTTTGTATTATTTTGGTGATCAACTCGTCGCAGTCCGACGTGCGACATACTATTTCAATAGCTTAAACATGCCTTGATTGTTGATGAAGATTGTGACATTATCCATGATTTGTTTAACTTGATTCAATGTCGGCTGTTGACGACTTGCTTGAACTTGAACTCTATCTAAAAAGGTGCGTAGTTTGGGGCGGTGCTTGCTCGCACTCACTGCCTATGCCCGGCCCAAGAACTGTGACAAGCTGCAGCACGCACCAGAACTTCGATGCAATGCCCTCCAGCGCTTAGAAGCCTCGAGTTGAGCCAACATCTCATGAAGAGCCTTTCTGGGACATGCTGGCTGGCGTTCATATTCTTCAATCACGAGTCCACCTCGTTTTATGACTCTGCTGTAACTCTTGCGTAAGGAGCATCCTGGCAGGTTGTCCAAACAAAGCCTGGGAAAACGGAAGGCTGTCATGACGTCACTATCATCACTTCTTGCCAGGTGAGAGAACCTATATACAGGAGTTTATACAGGAATCACTTGTTCTCTGGCGATGCTTCTCAATTTCTGCCCAGTGGCATCTCACCAGGTCTTCCTTCAGCCTGAAACGCTTCAGGTAAAGCTGCTGCTGGTGACGGTGCCGTCGCTGATGCGGGCGCTGGTGCAGGTGCCGGCGCCGGCACCGGCGGCACGAGCGCCGGGGACCGCGCGGATGACGCCGGCGCCGGGGACAACGCAGGAGCTGCACTGAGATGGACCGGTGCGGGTGCAGGTGCTGGTGCCTCCACAAGGCTCACAGCTGCAGCATGCCACGGACCTGATGAAAAGAAACACACCCTACCAGATATCCAAAGATCTGGTCATATCTGATCTGCTATCATGGAATGCACAAGTGTCTGCAGGACCTTTCGCCCGATCGGATGCGATCGCATTCCTTCCCTCACCGGCCAAGCATCTCATCACATCGGACCGGCGCTCCGGCACCAGCCGCGGCCAGGCTTGCGGCGTCGCCGGCGCCGCCGCCAGCGCCACCGCGGGCGACGGCGCGGAGGGCGGTCGGCCGTCTGAGTCGGGCGGTCAGCAAGAACAATCTCCACAGGTCAATGATTGGAATCTGCAAATTCGGGCTAAGATGGATTGTAAAAAGTAACTAGCTGGTTGGCTGCTGGCAACGAGTCTGGAAGCCGGGAAACATGACCTGATAGGATAGAAGATGTGATTGTCTGCGTTCGAAAAGAAGCATCTCACAGGCTTTGACACATAATGTGTGATGTATGCAATATAAAGCAGAGCATCGGAGGTGTCTTCAAAGAAGATCGCATTGATAGATTTGCGCGGAATTTTGTGCATAGGAGTTCAATCTGTGGACAAAAGAAGAGGATGAATTCAGAGTAGTTAAATATGAATTCAGAGTAGTAAAAAAAAATATATATTTATACTGTATATACTTGACACCCATGTTAATTCTTCATCTGGAGCCTCCATTCAACCTGTAATCTTCATCGTTCATGACCCTGAAATGTCCATGGCTTGGCGCAGTGGTCGAGTCAAGACTTCTTGTCTAATCTTCTGCCACCACGGGGGGGCCATCGTTTCCCACAGTTGGACGGACAAGACATCGCCGGAGGCATGGCTTTCCCTTGAATGAAGACCTGTTTCCACCAAAGAAGTGTTGGGGAAGGCCATATCACTTCCCTAGTCATCTTCTTAAAATTTATTAACACCTTGTTTTGACGGATTGCTCCCGTGGGCATGTCAAGAACCTCTCATCACAAGAACCTCATACCACATGATTTGAGTGTGCATATATCCGGTCCATATAATTACATGAATGTTTTATGCTGTCACACACACATATATATATATATATTATAAGTATACACATCACATGAGGCTAAACATGTCAGCTTCAGATTCCTCTCCTAAGACTGGAACCCATGCTGCTGAAGCAGGCTTGCAGCTTGTCGCAGCCAGCCTGGAACGCCTGTAGGTGCCACACAGCTTCCATCCAGCCAGATGCAGCGCTTCACTGCACAGGCGTATGGCGCCTCGCCCAGGCGACGCGCCGTCGCACGTAAAGCGTTGTCGCTTACCCATCGAGCGAGGTCGCGATGCGGTTCAACTCCCGGCTTCGGTCGATGTTTCCGTCCACGGTGGCGGAGGGGACACGACAAGCGTGGCGACGCAGGACGGTGGCCGTGGCGAGAGCCATGGTGGTCGATCTAATTCGAAAGCTCTGCTGGAGATGCGGAGATCGTCTTCACAGCTAAGAGGCCTTGCTTCTTTCTAAGAGACAGGTTTCTTTCAGGACCCATATCCTGCAGCAAAAAATCAATTCACCAGCACGAAAACATGGGGGGTCCCTTGGATACCCTATACCGTGGATACCAACAGGTATGGGTATACCCCAGAATATTTAAGGCGCCGGGTTTTCTGCACGAAAACACCGTTTTCGGCATGTAAAGTCCAAGCTGGGAAGTCTGGCGTACTGTCCCCACTGCCCTGCGCCGTGCCGAAGGAAATGCCAAAGGAGTACGTGAGCGACTCCAAAAGGCTGCAAAGCCGAAGCAAGGATGCTTGCATGGATGACTCACGAAAATACAAGCAGCAAGGAGCTCTAGCTGACAGATGCTTCAAAACCCCGAAAGAAATAGCATTGAAAGAAAGTTGCCCATGCGAATCATCGTAAAACAAGGGAATAGCTATAGATCACTTGCGTGTCGCATGTCCTCAACACATTGTAAAACAGCATGGAATCATGAAAACCGATGCAACTTCCCGAAGACCTTTCGACGCATGTAACTGCAACATTTAGTGCAAACCGTGCAAACCGATGCGACTAATCTATCTGAGAGTAGCCAGAAAGCACAGCAGGACGCATTCGACGCTACGTGTCGTGTTTGGCAGCTGTTTGGATCTGTCACGTTTCTTTGGAGACCGCGTTGATTTTAAATCTTCATAGTGATCATCTTCAGGGTAACCTAACCCGCATTCGGCTTTAATATCATCGAGATTCATCGAGGATCTTCGGCGAGTCTTGCCCGGTCCTTTGAAAGGCACCCGCGACAGTCCCGCGACTTCCGACCCCCAATTTTCGGTGCGACCGTTCGCTCGGAGGAGATTGGTCTCGGCAGGTGCCGGTTTCGGCGACCGCGGTCATTCCATCGACACGGCAAAATGTTCAGCCCAAAAGCGGCGCCTGAAAGATTCGGAAAGAGGTATGAAGTGAATTCATTGATTCCAACTAGTTGAGCAGCAAAGGGAGGAATGCCAGCATATGCCAGCAGTATTATTATTGGTAGTTTGAGAGTACGTGGCACAATAATCTCCAAGTGGTGGTGTGTAAAGACCATCTCCGAAGCATCAGGCCACCTCTTCAGGTGCACTTAGACCGCTGCCAGCACCTTCCAAACCAACCCAAAAGGCGATGTTCACACCTGGGGTTAAACCAACCGGTCGCAGTTAGGACCAACCTGCCGTCCGCCCCAGCGGCCCGCGCGCGCCTTCGATGCCCGGCATTGTCCGTGCGTGAGCAACTCCTGGGAGCCGATGGCGACGCACCAGGGGCCGCAGCGGCGCGTTGTGGTTAGAGATTCGTGAAAAAGTGGGGGTTCCATGGAAATCATATATGCATACGACCTTCTGTTTTTGTGGGTCTGCAGCATGACTTCTCAATCAAACGGCTACGGCTGTGGGTCTGTGCTGTCTGCACCCACCTTAAATACAGTCTATCTGATGATTGAACACCTTGCATTTAATATATTCTTCTGACTTGGGGGTCACTTTAAATCCATTTTGTTTATGTATCTTTTTTTTAAAATTTCCGTTGTCTGTAACATCTGTGGCGACAGTGGGAGAAAAGGAACAAACATGAATGAAGAAACGGGAAGTATTGCGCCTCCCTCGTGGTTCCACGATCCCTGAGCAACGTCCTCCCACCCTGCCTTCCCATCAATCTTGATGGAACTGGTGGTGTCAAATCCCAAATCCAAGTCGAAGACATATGTCCCCTTCTCCAGGATGTTGATTGTGCCAGTCCACTTCCCATAGAAGTAACCTAGGAGGACCGCAAGGTCACCCTCTGATTGTGCGGAACCTGTGGCAAACCATATCAGCTGGTTTGCCAGGCTCCTCATTTGGGGCGTTTAGCTCCCTTGATGAAGACAGCCAACACTAGTCAAATATATATACCCCGGCATCTGGTGGTCATCTACATTGCGCTACATCGCATTGAATGGTTGATGGCGACACGATATCAACAACAAAGGACATCAAATGACTGATTTCTGCCCAAGCAACTTCCAGCGTCTGCATGCTTCGCGCGCTGCTGAAGAAAACGCTGAAAGCCCCCAGTGAAGCCCATGCCTTGGTTGGTCATCCCATGTCTGTGCGCGGTACAGGCGCCGTGCAAGCGTCTATCGTCTGTGCGTCTACGCACGCTCGTGAATTGTGCGCTAGGAACCCCTCAAGAGAGTTGAACGCCTTCTGTTCAAAGCCTTCTGGCGGCCCCATGTACAATTCTGAGGGCCCCCCTCCACCGAGAAACATGGTCATGCCGGTCGGTCGAATCGGTTCCGAGTTCCGAGTGTCACAAGTATAGAGTAGGGTACAAACTGGAGAAAGATATGATGAATGAGATTCACAATGCATCTTTTTACATGTAAGAAAATTCATATGGTTATAACATTGATTATATAAATCATATTGACATAGGATGACGTCCTTGGACCCCTGCAAAAGCAAGCTCAGCAGCCTTTAAACCCTCAACTAAATTTGTTC